AACCTCTCATTAGAGATGTGGTTTATAAATATTTCTTCTATGCCACTGGCAGCTTGTTTCACTCTTTTCTTTTACACATAGAGCTTTTTATTTTCATTCAGCTTCTTTGTGCTTTGGGCCGTTGGTGACTGTACAGGAACAAGAGCAACCTCATGAAGATTTTCTCTAATTTCTTTTACTGTTTTACATTTTATCATAAGTTTAAATCTTTAATCCATTCTGATGTCATTTTCCTGTATGTTGAAACTAGCAGTATGTGAAAATACATGTAAAATATCATACAATATCATTTTTAAAGAAATATTTTTGAAGATTTGCTACCACTCACCCAGTTTTTCCAAGGAATGAAGACTTCAATGATCATTTCAGGAACTGTTTGCTCTCAGATGTTCTGGAAATCTAACCAAAAAAATGTAGCCTTGATATAAACTCTGGGCCTTATGATCCTTAAGAACACTTACAAATTGTTTTCATCCCCAAGAAAATAAAATTTATTTTGCCACTAACTGGAGAAATGAAGATTCCAATTTCAACTGTGGACTATGCATGCTAAAATCAAGAGAAAGATTTGAGCTTTTATTAATTAAATTTCAAAGCTATAATGTACTCAGTGCCTACTTAATGATAACTTATCCTCCTGAACTCCTTCTTTCATCTCACTGCACCATTTAGTTCTTTATTTATCTATTTTGGTTATTTATTTATCAGTTACCTATTGTCAAATATTCCCTTCCAATGCAAGGCAGAAAATTATTTTAAAAGGAAAGAAAACATTCACTTCAGCAGACTACTTTTTCTCATGTATTTCCTCCTTCCACCTTCAATCTTTTAAAGATTTAAGTAGAATGAATTGCATTAAAGGAGCTCTTGGGTACTGGTTTTTCACTATATGATTTTTTTTGGACCTAAATAAAATACCACTGAGTGGCAATATCTTGAGCTAGACTGATATGCAAGAACGAGGACAGAGTGAAAGGGCTATATTTCCTCTAAGGACAGAGTGCAGATGCTTCAGAAAGATGTTTATTTCCAAAAACAGCCTGCAATGTGCAAAGTTATCATCAGCCCTGATTCAATTTACTGCAGGTTGAAATACAAAGACAGTTCCATAGTTTCATAATTATGAGACTTCAAAAACTAGCAAGCTTTGCTTTGAAGAGATCATTTTTATTTCCACTAAGAGCAATCAAAAGACTTGAAAAAAAGTACAGTGATATAGCAAGTATTTTGACATATATTCTATGAAAGCGATAGTGTTGTCACAGATATAAAGTTCAGAATAGGAAGATTCAGAAGGAAACTAGTGATATCTTAAAAATCACAGAGTGCACAAAGCAGATGGAGACTGTGTGGACTAGAGTGTCTGGGAAGAAATGTGCGAACCCCAGGTGGCCATGACCAGGCACTTGGTGTTGGAGCAGAGTGGCTTCTCAAGGAACTGCATCTCTCACCTGCACGCCCCCTGGGTCCCTCTAGATGCAGGTACATTTCTGAGGGGGATTTTCACAATGAAGGGCAACACCCAGAAGGTGTGGTGGTTATAAAGTCGACTGGAGGAGGTAACAAGAGGGTCAAAAGTGATTTCGGAGGCGCAAAAAAGAAAAGTCTCTAAAGCAGATAAAAATGCAAAAAAAAAAAAAAAAGAAGCACAAAATAAGAGGAGCAATGTTCTGTCTCAAACCAGAGTGACCTTGCATATAATCCTGCTTTTCTGGAAGAGGGAAGGGAACTCCAAAGAGCTGTGGTCACTGATGTGCATGGAGTAAGCACTGGATTTCTGCAGAGTAGGAAGGGGTCGGATTTGACCAATTGTACCAGGAATGGCAGGGTTCTCAGCTGGCGAGCTGCTCCTCTTCTCTACTGATCTGAGTAAAACATGCCTCAAAGACAACATGGTGCCCAGGGAGAAAAACATCAGAGGAGACTGAAAAAAGGTTTTTTCTAGGAAGTTTTTAAAAATTCTTTTCTAGGTATGGTAATATTCCATGGAACCTCTTCCGTCCAAACACAGGTCTGTGTCCATTTTGGTTGAGGAGGGCAGTCTAGTGGCTTCCAGGGGACATTCAGAGTGGTTTATCAGCACAGTTAAATTCCGTAACAAGTGACCACACTGAACCTGTCATTTCCTAAGTTTCTTTAAACATGGAGTTTTCTCCATTTTTTTAAAGAACCAGTGTGCCACAGAACACGTTTTTGAAAGTTCTGGTTTTTGACCCAATGAAAACGTTTTCAATCTATGAAATATAAAGAGGTTACATACTTTATAGATTTGATCATATGGAAAACCAATTCCAGCACTTCAAGTGATTTTTGTTAAGTAAATGATTTCTTGAGAAGACAAAACTCTGTTTATGCCAGAAAGTTAAGATCAAGCTATACTTCATTGAGACAGTTTCTCACATTTTTATGCTTAATATTTTTCTCATCTTTATTGTTTTTTATTTTATAAACAATGAAACAAATTTTCATGAACAAATAATAAGAGTAACAGTAGTTATTACTCAGTGTAATGTTATCTTCAAATTAGTTACTCAGCACAAGATATAAACCAGGAAGATTCTCACAAAAAAGAAGCAAATAACAACACAAACTTTCCTTTCAGTGATGTAAGATAAACTATAAGTACATATTAGCATATATATTGCAGCATTTTTAAAACAACGAAACATGTAAATTTTGTAAAGTCTTCAAACTTCTCCCTACTTCCTATTTATCTGTCTTCTATTTTGCTCTTTGTCTGTATACTGTTTTTTATGAACTTCATATAATTACCAATGAGCTAAATTCTCATGTTTAAAATATCTATTGATTGAACTCAGTAACAGTTTATATTGATTTTGCTTAGGATAGTTTTTATTACACACCTTTTCTTTTCTTTTCAGTCTTGATCTACTGTTGAACCAAAGGAGTTGGTCACCTTCATTGTTAAAAATATCAGATCTTACATTCCCACCATGAAAAGAAAATAACACCCAGCTCACTGAACCTCAAAATACACAAAATAACCAGTATATTTGGATACAACTCCTTAAATATGAATGAGTTCCTTGATAGAATTAGCAAAATGTATGTGTGAGATTTGCCACCCACTCAATTCCAGGAAGAACAATTTAATAAAAAATGTAATCTAAAATGTAGTTGTTCATAAAAGCCACATGTGTGATAGATAATCGTTCAGGAATAGGAAAGAGCAGACACCTTTAAGACCATCTGGTCTCAGTATCCAGAGTGCTTTATTTAGAGTGAGAAAGTAGACCATTTGTTTTCATACTTAGGAACTGCAGGAGAAGAGTAGTGAAAAAAATATAAATTGATCTTCACTCAACCTATCTACAGAGCCAGGTGCTTAAATTTGAAATATGCATTGAGTATGTGTGCAGGAACCATGGCTGGCTTGAATGTATTTCAGAGATACAGCCACTTATTAAGTGTGTGGATTTCTGCCAATCTACACTGTTCAAAAAGTAGGTTATAATTAAAACATAATCACTTAGGTACATTGGAATTTCCACTGAAGCTTACGAGTCAAAATTAAGCAACATCACCCTCGAGAGGTATTTTTTGTATAGCAGTAAGTGAAATTTGTCTTCCTTTGGAACTAGACTTTTAGTTTCAGTGGATTTTTTTGTTTGTTTGCTTAGTTGGTTGGTTGGTTCTGTTTACCGTGGTGCTGAGGATTAAACCCCAGTGCCAGTGTGTGCTAGGCAGGCCCTCTGCCTCAGAGCTACGTCCCCAACTGAGGCGGGGATTCTTGTTTGCTTTGGTTTCCATCTTGACAATTTTGGTAAAGAATCAGAGATCATGAAAAGATGTCAAGCAGAAAACCAGGATATAAAAATTCTGTTGCCAGTGTGGGCAGCAGAAATGACTGATGAGAGGAGAGCGTGTCAGAACTGAAGAACACCTGGAGCACTGGGCCATATTCCCAAATCACTACAACCCTGGGACCCCGGTCCAACAGCTGCTGGGTGACTAAAAAACCAAACTAAGAAGTATAAGTGATAAGGAAGGGTTAGAAGGTGGCACAGAAGAATAAAAATTAATTCACCAAAATCGTAGCAGAAAATTTTCCAAACCTAGGCAAATAATTAAACTTCAAGATAAACAAGACATAGGGAACCTCCAAGAGCCAGTACCAGAAATGAACTTCTCCCAAGTCATAGTCAAATTCCCAAAATTAAGCACAAAGAGAACACTAAGAATTAAGTAACTTATAAAGACTAACCTATCAGAATAACAGCAAATTTTTAAACCCAAACCTTAAAGGCCAGGGAGAGATTGCAGCGAAGTTTTTCAAGCTCTGAAAGAAAAGAGCTTTCAAGCCAGGCGGGGTGGTGCATGCCTGTAATCCTAGCACTCAGGTGGCTAAGGCAGGAGGATTGCTGTGACTTCAAGACCAGCCTTGGCTACATAGTGAGTTCCAGGTCAGTCTCAACTACATAGTGAGAACCTGTCTCAAAAAAACAAACAAACAAACAAACAAAAACAACAACAACAACAAAAAACCTTTCAACCAAGATTAATATATCTTGCAAAATTACTAACCAAAAATATAATAAATGAAAATGGTTGGACTATATCCATGAGGTTCAATGACTATTTTAAGGTAAAGATTCTATTTTGTCCATTTTAAGGTACATTACTTCAAAGGTATTCCTTGTAATTAATGAATACCCCTTTAGTTTAATTTACATTAGTTATGGGAGACATTTAGCCACTGAGAATAGTGATCATTTGCAGTCTTCAGATTAGGCTGAGAAAACTGAAAGAAAATATTTAAAATTTAAAGTTCCTTGAGCAAGTCAGCTTTTGGAAACATCCAAATAAAACAACATGCAAACGACTTTACCAGACTAGTTTTCTATAAATATGTAAGCCAGTCCAGGATTGATTTTAAGTTAAGAAATGAAAATGTCATGTATACTCAATGTTGTAAAAGAAAAAATGAAATTTCCTATCTTAACCTCAGAGATTATATTCACTAGAGACCATGGCTCTTTTATAAGAAAGGCTTCCATGACTGGGATTATGGTATTTACTAATCTCAAATCTGTAGCTATCAACAAGATGTGTAAGTGAATTGGATTTTTGTTTTTCTTCTGATGTCCAGAAGAAAAGATTGAGTAAGATAAAAGAGGAGATGCAGCAGTCAAGGCATTCCCTCCCACAAAGCCCAGGCCTCTGTACACTCTTCCCTGCATGTCTTTCTTGTCTCTGCCTCAAATCTACTTTTGGAAAGGGGCGGGTGAGGGTCTTCCACAGGGCCCACTTGTTAGCAGACTCTCCCATGAGGACGAATGAAATCACAACTTCCTTGGCTGGTAACCAGCTGCAGCTCTGTCTATGCCTCTGGCCGGACTCTGGGTCCCCATCACCTGCGAGCCCAGATTCCTCCTCCAAGAGTCCCCATAGCTCACCGCACACCTGCGTGTAGGTAATCAGACACAGTAAAGAGCTCTGGCCAGGAGAGAACCGAGAACTTCGATGCGTGATTGTATCTCTACAGGAAGGCCACAGGAGGAGAAGCAGCCACTCCAGCCCCTTGGGAAAAAGTAAACAAATGAGTTAATCTGCTGCGTGTCAGCAGGAGATGGGAACATAATGTTACAGAATTTAGCTTTTCTTATTTTCATCAGAAGAAAATCAGAGCTTCCTATTTGAATGGCGAGTATCACTGTGGCACTGAGTGGCTGCTCAGGATGCTGTCACCCACGAAGCTTCCCTGCTATCTGAAGGCTTCCTTCACCGCACTTTGGAATTGTATAGAATGTTCAGAGGTGTGGTTTTCATTCACAGCAAGACATGTGCTGGCTCATCCACAGGGTTCAGCCAACAGTGCACCCCTGAATAGAGCAGCAGTGTTAGGAACACAGTGGCCAAAGGCACCAACTGCTCACCACTCCCTGCTATGGAAGAGCTCCTCTTCACTGGTTTTCATAATAACAAAGTGAGAGCAAATAATACACACCCAGGTACTTAAGCAATTAACGATATACTAGAAGAAAAGCAAAACTTGAAACACGTGTGAGACTTCAAATGTACATTTTACATAGACATAGTTTAGAGCAAAAAAAATACAAACTACAAAAAGTGTAATAAACTATAATTTCCAATCCCTGGGGGAAGAAAAGACCACTGGCTGTTGACCTTCCCACTTCCGAGTTCTCTCAGGCCTGTCACTTGCCTGCCTGCATTGGCCTTTTATGAAACATTCCCCTTTATTACCAGAGTCCCATTGTTAGTGGCAATGGGGATCCAGTGCGGTGCTCAGTTTCTCTGAATTGAGGCATTGGCTGGTGAACCACTAGAGAGAGTCCATGAGCTGATGCAAGAAGGACAATGTCCCTGCTGCTCACCCTGTGGACTCTATAAGACCTAAAGTCTCACTTCCACTCCGAGGAGGGTGAACAGCTGAAAGGGTCTTCATGATGCAGAGTCCTATAGCCCAATGATGGCTGTGGATGCAAGACCCAGGGCCTTACTTCTGGGAGCCTTGAACAGCCCAAAGGGCCTCCAAGATGCTGGGACCTATAGCTCAGCGAGGCTCCGGGAGCTCAACGGAGGAGTGAGAGTCACCCAGGGAGAAACACACCAGGCTCGTTGGTAAATAGACCTTTATTAGTCTGGCCAGACATCACTCTCAGAACTGAGCAGCTCAGAGAGGCACAGCACAGGGGTCAGCACAGTTTTTTAAAGGCAAGGGAAAAGGATTGCAAGCGCAGCAAGTGGACCAGGGGTCAGGGGGTCAGTTTTCTGCCATCTGTCTAAAGGAATCAGCTGTGCGGTGCACCTGGCCTTTCATCTCCAGACCTCAGGCTGTTCTGTTCTAAGGAGGCCTTGAGTTCCTATCTTGTTTGCCTGTACCAGGCTTCCATATACTCTGTTTTAATCTTATCTTAGAGCTGGGTAGAAAGAAATGTGTGCTGCTATGTGCTGGCTAACTAGGGGTTACATAGCAGTTAGAGTCCCACATTCCCCACTGATTTTGGGGCTCAAATCAAATCCTTGATTCACCATTTTACTTAAAGTTTTTAGCTAAGGGGTCATAGCAATTTGTAAAGGCATCTTTTCAGACACATAAGTTGGGGATTAGGATCCCCAGAGCACATGAAGTTCACATATTTTTATCTTTTGTAGGCTCATAAACTCTTAATTCAAAAGCATAATAGCTCATAACAGTTTGACACAATATAAGAGTCCATATCTTGATTGTAGTTTTCATTCTTCAGCCATGCGTGGACTCACCAGCTTCTGGTTCTTGAGTGCGTTGTCTCCTGGAGTCAGAATCTGTGGAATTCTGTTTTACTCTAGAGTGGTGGCAGCTGAGCTTCAGCTACCTTGACAGCTGTGCGAATAACCATAAGAAGTGCCTCATATAGCCCTTTCCATATAGGTCATAAAGGGGTCTTTTTTTTTTTTAATAAAATCTTGTACACCTTTGAAGCCCTCTTTGTTTTTATAGGGATGGCCTCAGGACATCCAGAAAAGTATAACCCATACTAACACATACTTATAACCTTTATAGGGGGTGAGTATAATCATTTAAAATTTCTGTTTATTTTTGATAAGTTTGCCTTCTGCTATGAGAAGACCATACTTGTATAGACTGTGCCATAGATATACCAAGTGGCAAACAAGAATCTGTATAAACATTTACCCTCTTTTCTTTCCCCCATTGGAGAGCCTGTATGAGTGCCCATAGCTCTGCTCACTTAGCTGACCAATCCAGTGGGGAGGAGTCCTGCTTGGACCTCTTCATCTCTGCATAGCCAGCACAACAAACCCCATTTTCCATGAAGCTGCTCCTATCCTTGAACAGGACGCAATCAGCCTCAGGCAGCGGGTCTTTTTGCAGATCTGGATGACTGGAGAACAATTCCTCAGTGACCCTGAGGCAGTTGTGGTCAGGGGGCCAGATTCTGAGGGCAAAAATTAGCAGGATTTAAGGTTTTCACTGGAGCAAAATATAGGTGGAAATTCTCACAGATGAGGGCCTGATATTATGTGACTCTATTTGAGAGCCATCAATGTCTTGTTATTTAATAGCTCTAAAAGGCATGGGGAAACTGAACAAATTATTTTTCCTAATGTTACCAGGTCAGCTTTCTGCAGCTTCCAGGGCTCTATCTATAACAAGGGAGCTATCCCTAAACAGCTGGATCTAAACTCTAAGATAAATATGTTACTGGCTGATTCCCTGGGCCTACTCCCTTAAAGCAGTATGATTTTTTTAGTCAGGTACAAACTAAAAGGCTGGGTCACATTTAGGATCCCTGATACAGGGAGCAGCAGAGAGTTAGTTTTAGCTGTTTAAATGCTGACTCTTGATCTTTACCCTATAATAATCACTGTCTTTTTAGGCCCTTTAAAGATTCGTACATAGAGAGAATCTAGCTCCTGTGAAAACCTTTTATCTCAAAAGTTCTCTCATCTGTTTTAAGTCTTTTTATCTCCAAGCAGCATAAACTTTATATCCTGCCTCCTGAAGCAAGCATTAATAGTTTTTAATACCCTGTGAAGTTTTTATTTATTTAGTACATCCAAAAATTAACAATAATCATAATTTTATGTATGAAACTTCATAACCTTTAATCTAATTAGGTATCAAAAGCATTTTTTGAGTAGCTGTCCTTTTTATTATTAACAGGAGTCTATCTAGAACTGAGTTTATGCTTAATTATCTTGACAAAATTTTAACTTATAAAACCAGGTTATAGAAATTAACATTATTAGTATCCTTGTTGTCATTTTAATCAAAATATAATTGGACAAACTTTTCAAAAAATTGGACACAGACAAAAATATAAGACCATTTATGAAACTATGATATATTCAAATGTATTTGGCCAATTGAATTGTAAAATCTTTCTTATTTTTCTTTGTCTCATTTATTATTAACCTTTTATAACAAACTTTAGCTGTTAAAATCTTAAAGTGTTCTTTTTTTTTCCTGTTCTCAAATTGTTACATCTTAAAATTTAACTGGCTTCCTGTAGAACAGTATGAACTTTGAGTTTTTATTAACAAAGTACAGAAAAGAGCAAGTTAACCCTATAATCGTAATTTAAGAATTTGCAATGCACAAGAAGGGTTTTAAGCACACCAATTAAACTTAATTTAATTGAAACAAAGATACATTTATCAAATAGTTAAAATTTCTAACTTGATTTTTCTTGCAAAAATCTCATGATGTCTGGTAAAACACAATTGCAGTTTTTCTGGCTTGCAGTGTTTTTTCTCTCTATTTAGTCTTTCAGAGTTTTCCTACCTGATTTTAATCCATTAGAGATTTATTTTTTATTTTAGTTCTTTTTAATCTGAGTGCAAGCCCTGTTTTATCTTTTCTGAGTCCCATCATGTTTTTCCATCTGCACCCTCCAGGGCAGTAAAGCTAAACAGTTTTGGTTTTGCCCCCCACCTCTCCACACCTTCCATCTTAGCAACTCAGGGAGGGGGAGGCAGCTTGACCTCCTCCAAAGGGGAAACACTGGGATTTGCCTGCAATGATGTCACATTTTCTGAGAGACAAGTTTACCACGGGAAAACAGAAGATTTAGCAAGCAACTGTTCTAAGACCAAAACTAAATAGTTCTTACTAGCAACTGATTATCTCAGGGCAGAAGATTGAGCAGCTCCTAGAGCACAGAAGGCTCCAGGTTGTCAAAGTCTCAGGTAAATAAAACAAAGGCAGATAACTTTCCTTTTTTCTAGAGTTTTTTCTGGGGGCCAAGTCTGGCTTAGCTGAGACCATAATAAGTCACAAAGTTTCTTAAGCATCTTTGGTTGCAGTTTTATTTCATAGTCCCCCACAAAATGTTTATCAAAACTCTGAATTATGCACTTAAGAACAGTTGGTTTAGTATTACCATTCTCCATGACCATTACATACTCGCTTGTCCAGTGACTCAAGACAACCAAAGGGTGGGGGTGCCATGCTATTCCAGAAAGGGGCCTCATTTACTCTTCAGCCTGAGTCTGAGATTCCTAGCTCTCCCAGGCCCTCCTGGACCAAAGGAGAGTTTCCCGTCACAAGAGTCTCTGTTTTGTCCTTTGTAAGTGTGGCCACAGACTCACAGGACTGACCCACACAAGTTCTGCAATGCAGGAGGGCTCTTTAAGTGCAAGCACTCCCTCCCTCCCTTTGTTTTGGTGCACAGACAGGCCACCGATGGCTTTTGTAGCTCGTTTCACTCACTCTCCTAACCAAGTCTCTCACACACACAGTCACACAAGAAGTTAACACATTTCCTCCCTGGGGCCCCTTCCAAAGACAAAGTAGGGAGCAACCCAGGGGATCTCACCACTCAGACGATTTCACTCACTTGCCTTCTTTCTGCTCTGCTACCAGCGAGCTGGCCTCCGAGTCCTAGAAAGAGAACCCAGGAAATCCTGTGGGCATGCCTCTTCCCTTCCAAGGAGGCAGACAGTCACTCCTTCCAGCAGGACTCCAGTCAAGGCCCAATATAGTCTGTGTCAGTTATCTCTTTCCTTCCTGGGGGAAAATTTGACTCTGTATTCATCTTCCTGCTCAAGGGAAAAAACCAATTTAAAATTAGTGGGAAAGCAATCCAGCGTGGTGTTTTTTGGAGCTGGATCCTCCCACCTTGTCCCTAAGAACCAATGCAAAGTTAACACTCAACAGCCAGGACACAGACAAGACAAACAAGCACCACAAAAAAGCTTTGATTCCACCCAGAAATCCTCATCAGGGCCGGGGTCAGGGGAGGCTTCCCAGCTCATCAGCCACCTCAATCCTGACAAACAGATGGTTGCAACAAGTCCAAAACTTACCTCCAGAGGCTTTTCAGGTCTGTTAGAGAATCTCCTGTTGGATCCGCTACAGAGAGATCTCAGCCGGATTTACAGTTCCCACCCAGGGATCTCGCTGGGGCCTCGAATAATGTAAGACCTAAAGTCTCACTTCCACTCCAAGGAGCATGAATAGCCGAAAGGGCCTTCACAGTGCAGGGTCCTATAGCCCAACAATGGCTCTGGATGCATGACCCAGGGCCTTACTTCCAGAAGCCTTGAACAGCCCAAAGGGCCTCCAAGATGCTGGGAGCTCGACAGAGGAATGAGAGTCACCCAGGAAGGAACACACCAGGCTTGTTGGTAAGTAGACCTTTATTAGTGGACATTGTATGGCCATATGAACAGTGTGATATGATAGTTATATGTTATGATAGTTATATAGTTATATGTTATGATAGTTATTATGTGGTTGACTAATCTGAGAAAAAATATATTGGACCTTGCAAGGAAAAATCCGTTCTTGGTATCCCTAAAGATTTTAAAGACAAGGGCTGAGGATTTAGCTCAGTGGTTCCGTCGCCTGCTTTGAAAGCACAAGGACCCAAATTCTATCACTGGTACAAAAAAAAAAAAAAATTTTAAGAAAAGACATTACAGTAATTCTTGCATACCCACACAGTGCCTAAGAGCTAAATCCTGAAAGTGTCCTATATATCCATCAACAGATGAATGGACAGAAAATGTGTTACTGATGCATGATAAAGTACTATTCTGCTATGAAAAAGCAATTAACTTGAGTCATTTGTAGGAAAATAGACATCCCTTGAAACTATAATGTTAAGTGAGATAGAACCAGACACAGAAGCTTCAATATCACATGGTTTCTCTTACATGAGAAAACCAAAGTACATATAAATTAAAGAGCAAAATAAAATATAGATAACAGAAAGCAAGGAGATAGATCTTTTGCAAATAGGAGGGGAACCAAGAGACGCAGGAAGAGAGGGTGGAGGGGAGGAAAAGGGCAAGTAAAAAGAATTAAGATCTGTTATGTACTGTACCAATTCCCCACAATGAATATAATCACTATGTACTGCAGACATGAGCTAATACAAATAATACTTTTCTTATAAAAGCTCAGCTGAGTTTAGATTAGGCCAGCTGTTTACATGCCTGCAGTCCTGATAACGTGGGGTTGAAGCAGGAGGGTCACTGGAGCCAGGGAATTCTAAGACAGTCTGGGCAACATAGAGAGACTGTCTCAAAAGACTTACATACTGGGCTTCAGACTTGAGTTACTCCTCATACTTTGGGTAAGGCATCATATGGAAATAAAAAATAATATTCTGGGTTTTTTTGGGGGGTACTGGGGATCGAATTTGGGTCCTTGTGCTTGCGAGGCAGGTGGTGGAACCCCTGAGCTAAATCTCCAGCCCCAATAATATTCTGACAGTCAATCATTTAGCAATAATGATATCACAAAAATTTGTAAAATTAATTTATGACTAAGAAAAACTGTCATGTACTGCTAATTATCTGATTTTATCATTCACTATTTATAAGATAGGTTCAAAGGTGCTACTCAAGGAACACAATGTACCAACTTTTTAAAAATTCAGTAAATTCTGCAAAATCCACAGTAATTCTGATCATTGCTGAACCACAAATATTCCATCATTATGGATTTTCTAACTATATAGAAAGCTATAACTTGCCCAAAGAAAGATGGAATCAGCAATGAAAATAATTAAAAGATTGTAGTGTTACTGGTCCAGAGTAACACAGAGATTGCAAAGGCAAATGAAAAATAAGACCTAAATGTCCCTCAACCCTCCCTTTTCTTAGAACACTGACTTAGGAAAACTGGGACTTAAGAGTTACTTCTCTGTCTTGTTTTGGAAATGAGGCTTAGAAAAGGCTGTCTAGTCTCAGGGCTCAGGACTCTCTAAACCCAGAGCCTAGTGAGGACCTGTTGGAAATGCGGTTGTCAAACAAGGCACTGTTGCCACCCCCAGCTCTATGCGCAGAGAGGAGCCTGATGTGGGGGGATCTGCCCCTACATTTCAAAACTGCCTTATATTAGGAAAACATGGAAGTTTATTTTCCACTTGGATAAAGTGGATGGAGATGGTAGCACAGTGAATTTACGATGGAGAGTTTGTGGAAAATGGTGCAGCCAAGTCCTCAGGTCTGACAACATAGAGGTAATGGGCTGTGTCTACTTGGCTACAGAAAAGGTGAAGTTTCAGATTTCATTCTGATTTTGCAATCTTTTGGCAGACAACTTGTGATACACAATATATTCTGATTTAATGGTTATTCAATAATGAAATTGCTTTCATTCTCTTCTAACTTTACAGGAAGGTTTTCTGGCATGGAAGGGTGTTTTCCTTTTAATTTTATTTCCTAACACCTCCAAATATTTGAATAAACAACCCCTTTCTAAACAATCCATGGGGCAAAGATTAAATCACCAGGGAAAGTATAAAATGAATCCAAATGAATAATAATGAAAACACAATATAAACTCTGTGAGCTAAAGTAATGCTTCCTTACTTAGGGTGAAATGTGTAGCTTTAAATGATTATATCATAAAAATTAAAAATCAATCTAAAGGGCCAGGGATTTAGCTCAGTGGTTCCTCCGCCTGCCTTGCAAGCACAAGGACATGAATTCAATCCCCGGTACCAAAAAAAAAAAAAAAAAAAAAAAAAAAAAAGGAAATCAATCTAAGTTGCAACATTAAGAAAACAGGAAAATATGAGAAAGTTCAGTGCACTATGATTAGAAAGAAATGATGAAATGGAAAACAAAGGCGAGGAAGGAAATCAATTCTAAAATAGGAGAACATTGGAGAAAAGTTAATAAAGTTGGCCCTTCATAAATTTGTAAACCCCTCGTAAGACTGCTCAAAAAAAAAAAAAAAAAAGATAAAAAACCAAGTAAGAAGGACAAAAGAAGCTTCATTAAAGAGTTGGTGAACAGCTGGGCGTGGTGGCGCACGCCTGTGATCCCAGCACTCAGGAGGGAGGCAGAAGCAGGAGGATTGCTGTAAATTCAAGACCAGCCTGGGCTACATAGTGAGTTCCAGGTCAGTCTCAACTATATAGTGAGACCCTGTCTCAAATAATAATAATAATAATAATAATAATAATAATAATAAATTAAAAAATAAAACAAAGAGTTGGTGAACATTAAAAGAAGGTAAAAAGGTAAAAGAATATTTTTAAATGGAGGTTTCTCCAGTTCCAGATCTATTTCTGGCCCTATTGGCGTCCGATCTGCGCAGTCACTTGCAAAGGTTGGTGGTGGAGTAACCTGGGCGAAGTGCATGGAATCTGTGGGCTCTTCCACGGATTGCCCAAGGAACCATCAGAGCTGCTTCACCCAGGCTTTTTGAAAAAAAGTCCTGCAGAAGCTGTTTCAGGAAGACTGTGGACCCCGGTGACTCGGCGGTGGCGGAGGGCTCTGTGTGAGCCACGCTCTGACTCCAGCCGGTGGAGCCGCTCAGGCCTCCGTCAGCGGGCTGTGGCCTCATCCCCAAGAAGCCGCTGACCTCAGTCAGTCCCGGTCTCCTGGCCCAGCTCCGGTCAGCTCACTGGACCGGTAGTAAGGGAAATAACCAGGCTTTTCTTCAAGGGTCAGCGTGTACTGACTAGTACTAACTGCCACCAATAAAGACATCTTTACCATGAAAAAAATTTTTTTAAGTGATTTACCATTAAATTTGACAACGTATAAAATAGAAAAATTTATTTTAAAATCAAAGCTCTCCAAACTGATATAAAATAAAATAGAAAAATCAGTATTATTTTCTATGTTGAAAATGAAACTTTTTACCAAATATCTCACAAGGAAAATGCTAGGTCCAGCTGGAATGATGAGTGAATCTTACCAGAATTTAAGAATGGAATAATATGAATATTAAAAAATGTTTCAGAAAATGTAGAAAAGCAATGTAACCATGATTCTAAAATCTGTTAGTCATTAAAGTGAAACAAAATTGCACATATTCCACAAGAACATAAAATTTAAATTCCTTTATAAAATATTAGCAAAACCAGAATATATGCAGGGATACTACAATATGACCAAGTAGAAATTACTTTGAGAATGAAAATTTAATTTAATATTTCAAAAATCAACATAATTCACGATCAAAAGACAAAAGCTCTTCATTGACTAGAATAAAGTATTTAAAAAATTCTCTCCATAGCAGAAATTGAAGTAAACTTTCTCAGTGAGATAAAGAGCAACCATGAAAGACATCAGATAACACAAAATAGCAGATCAAGATTGAATACCTCCATCCCACTATCTGGAATAAAGAGCAAGGAGAGCTACTCTTGCTAATAATATTTAACACTTCGCTGCAGGTTCTAAACAGTACAACAAGGCAAGGGAAGAAATAAACATAAAGACAAAAAAATAAAAGTAAGCCCTATTTATAGAACACAGGAATGTCTATATAGAAACGACTAAGTTATTTATAAAGCAACTGCTACAATGAGTAACAGATTTCACAGTGTCACAGGATAGAAAGTCACAAGGTAAATCCACAAAATAACTTGTTTCTGTATAATTGTATCAAACATATGGAAAATAAAATTTTTTAAATTCCTTTTACAATAGCATCAAAAACCACAAAACACAAATGTAGAAAGTCATGCAAGGCTTCTAAACTAGAATGTATAATACATACATGAGATAAATTAAAAACCAAAATAAATTGACAGAACATCTTCATGAATTGAGATTTGATACTAAAGTCCCAATCATAATCCCAGCAGAATTTTATAAAAATTGAAAGTTGATTGTAAATTGCATATGATTTACAGTGAGTAAAATAAAAGATTCACAAAATAAATATTTGGTAAGGAATTCTATGTACTTATTTCTAACATAAAGAAATATTATGTCAGTCATAAGCACGATTTCTAAAACTGGACAAACAATAAAGGACACACCTCACAAAAGAAGGCACAGAAATGTCAATAATCACATTAAAAGGGACTCAGTGTGAAACCACAGTGAAGTACAATTACACAAACACTAGAATGGCAAAACATTAAAAAGATTCACAATGCTGAGTCCTGAAGAGGACCAGAGGAACTAGGAGGTCCCAGTGTGCTCCTGGGGGTGTGAGATACATGGACACTTTGGGAAGGCAGGAAATTTCTTGAACTTTTTAGCATGTATCCACCTCATGACCTAGCAGTTCCTTTCCTAGGTGTTCACCAAAGATAACTGAAAATATGTGTCCACTAAAAAGACTTACTCATAAACATTTTTTAATTGAGTTTATTGGTACATTT